GTTGTTCAGCTTGTGTTGAAGTATTTCTGAATGCTGCTCCCTTTTAGTTCTTTCCTTAACTCTGTCGCACAGCTACGCCGGCTCTAGCCAAGCGAGAGTGGTTCCTTCCACCTCGTATGCGCCGACCAGACAGAAGCGCAGCTACGAGGAGGACGACGAGATGGACGACATGGACACGCAGCCGCAGAAGCAGCGGGAGCCGCATCCTGGTATGAGTGTTTTGCTTGAGAAAAATCTTTTATGTATAATCTTAAAGCTCCTTATAGAATCAGATGCTGAGGTTCAGTTCACTGTTGGTCAGATTCAGAGCGCAAAATGTAGGAGTCTGCTAACTTTAGTCGGCGTAGGCATCTGACAGTACAAATACATGCAGGTGTCCTCCCTGTCGCTGCAGGTCCTCAGAGTCCCACAGAACAGCACGGCAACGGTGACTGTAAGAGACAAGAGACAGAAGCTCCCTCCAGCCAGACGGCATCTACCTCTCATCTCGACCTCAACTTCCCTCTACCGGGAGAAAAAGGCCCTTCCTGCCTCGTCAAGGTGTGTTTTGATACCTTTTCCATTATCGCCTCATTTCGCTGTAACCTGGATGATTAACACCGTCACCTGGTGGATGATTCATCTCACATTAAACATTGTGTTCAAAGAGGTGATTTCAGGGATGATGGCTCCATTATCAGCAGACTTCCCCCCCCCCGAGTGTAGAACAGAAGCTAAAAGGTGCGTGTTGTTGGCAGGTGTACGAGAACTGGGACAACTTCAAACTGAACGACACGCTGGAGGTCTACGGGATCCTCTCCGTCAGTCCCGCTCTCAGCGCTCTGGCCGACGAGAAGTAAGACACATTGTAGAGTTGAGTTTCCCCTCCGGTGGCGACCTGCGTGCGTTTTGTTTTTGTTGCTCACTCTCGGCGTGTCCACACAGAGACGCCTCCTCATCCATCATGGACCCCACGGAGTCCATGGAGACGGCAGAGGAGCAGAGGGTGCACTGCCCGCCGGCCTCGCTCGTTCCTCGCCTCCACATGCTCCACGCCAGGCCAGTGTCGCACAACAACCCCCTGCTGCCCTCCGCCACGCTGGAGGACAACAGTGCCTGTAAGGACAAATAGTAGAGAATGAATGCTGCATGATGACTAAAGTTCACTTTTCTTTTCCCCCTCCTGCGTGTTTGTGTGTGTGTGTGTGTGTGTGTGTGTGTGTGTGTGTTTGTGTGTGTGTGTGACTGTAAATGCCAGTAATCATGAATATTCATAACCTAGTTTTTAAATAGAAGATTGTTCCCCTCACCATTAGTGCTGATGTTTGTGTCCAGCCCCTGACACTGTCAGAAGAGATGTAGGGGAATACTTACTGAGCCAGTTACTGTCTAAAGGCCCAACAACATTTTACACAGATGTAAATGAGCCGAGCCGCAATCCATCTGATTTGCATATCCCACCGCTGAATAAGACCTGAAGCCGGGTTGTTTTGACACCCGTTGCACTTTTGTTTTCATCCCGCAAGAGGAAGACTGCATGAGTAAATAATAGTTAAATATCCTGATGTTGTCAGCTCAGGGAACAGATCAATGTCTAAATGCGTCATTGAAAATGAATGTGTGTTAAAACTCTTTTTGTTATAGAAAAGAAAATATTACAGGCCTATGTGACGAATATTATCAATGACGCTTCTGCAAAACATCATATTCTCCTTTTGTGAACATGAACCAAGCAAAGTTTTAAATATAGAGCGACAATAAAAGGCAGCAAATCCTTAGAAAATAGTGTTTCTGTTGATGAACTTCAACACAACGCCGAATATGAATCCAGCACCTGCTACAAAAGTTGCATCCATACAATGCTGTATTATATACTATAAAGCTTCTCACAGCTTTTTGTTTTACGTACTATAATGCTAATGCAGTAATTTGTACACAATCTGAGTTCATCTCTTTACATATAGAAATGCAGAGACATTAGATGTAAGTGCTGGTGCAGTGTATTAGCTAATGGAGCCACCTGATGCTTTACCTTAAAGTAGTCCATCTATTTTGAACATAAACCTCCGTTACAGTCACATTATCACGTCGGCCTCCAGCTGTGTGGGAAGCAGAAAAAAGGGGCCATTATGTCGAAGTTAATTTGTGTTGTAAAGCTTTTAAGAAGAGGAATAATGCAGCAAATGTTTTTCCACTGTGAAGCCTTTAAAAAGCGCACATCCCTGCAGTAGCTATAGGGACTTGTTTTAACTCTTTGTCCTTCCTCAGTTTTATCGTCGACCCTGAGTGAGATGGCCTCCGTCAGGGCCGAGCTGCTCACGTACTTCACTCACATCCTCCTGGGAGATGCTCTGGCTGCCGAGTACCTCATTCTTCATCTCATTTCTAACGTGTACGTTAACTTCAGTTCCTGTCTTTTGCTTTTAATGCTGAAGCCAAAAAGAGCTTTTTTTTTTTTTTTTAAATTTCACACTGCGGCTGATTGTGTTGCAGGTACAGCAGACGGGACGTTCTTCCACTCGGCAAGTTCACCTTGAACCTGAGCGGCTGCCCTACCGCCTCGTACACCGAACGCCTCTACCAGATCATCCAGCAGCTCGTGCCTTCTGTGAGTGAACTCCAAGCAACTTCCAGCACTGCTCTGTTTGTTTGTTTGTTTGTTTGTTTGTTTCTGCTTGAAATTAAAGGGTTTTTTCCCCCTCCACAGTCGTACTATCTGGGAATGAGCCTGCAGAACATGAACCAGATGCGGTTGGTGCCTAAGAAGGACTATGTGGCTAATCGGCTAGCGAGTGGAGTCCTGCAGCTGGCAAGACACACTTCCCTCTTCCTGGATGAGATCCAGCTGGAGCAGGGACAACTGGACACAACAGGTGAGGCGTCTAGAAACCACGAGGGGTCGACACTGAGAGGATAAACTCAGCAGTTAATGCCCCCCCCCGCAGCCTGTAGACACTGTTAGTATGATTTGACTGAGCTAACACTAACTAGGTTGGATCTGTGTGTGTGTGTTTGTGTGTTTTTGTTGTGTAGGTGTGCGTAACGTCACGGCCCTCGGGAACCTGATCACGTGGCAGAAGGTTGATTATGACTTTAACTACCACCAGATGGAATTCCCCTGCAATATTAACGTGCTCATCGTGTCAGAGGGCCGCTCGCTGCTGCCGGTGAGGACAAAGAGAGATGAGGCGTGCACCCCCCAACCCCCGTCATGTGCAGGGAGGGGTTAGGTTTCCTTCAGCCTCTCATGAGACTGAGCCTACTGACGGTGGAGGCCGGCGTCGGGCTGTCATTGGTCGGCCGCAGCAACCCTTCCAGCCAGCAGCTTTAGCCCGGGTCTCTCGCTCTGTTGCGAACAGCCCGAGGAATGTGCTGTGTGCTATTCCTGTGTGTTGGTCTAACGGGTTGCCATGGCGTCAGCTGTGTGCCACAGGAACAATCCTGGGAGAGGCGTCAGGCTCGGCCATCTATTAGTCCTGCGGTGAAGGGCATCACGCTGTAAACAACTCCCAGGGTTGATTAGAAGTCAGCAGTAGACGTCTGCGTTTACATTGCCCAACTCTCGTCTGTTGAGCAGCTGGAGCTCATCAGATGCTTCACGCTCGGCTCGCCAAGGCTTTGCTCCTGTCTGGCGTGCTAGGAAGTTTTGAGAATATGCCAAACTAGGCGTGCGCACGCACACAAGGCAGGGCCTACTTCTGCATAGCAACACCTGTGGAAAAAACTTTATTCATATAGCGTTTATATGTACAAAGGTCATCCCTGGCACTGTGTCAATGTTGCTCTCTCTCTCTCTCTCTCTCTCTCTCTGTGACCCCACAGTCGGACTGTCAGATACACCTACAGTCTCAGGTCACCCCAGCCAACATGGAGGAGTACCTCAGCAGCATCCACATGCATACGCAGACGTCGTCACAGCTCAACAAGTTCAGAATCTACCTGAGCGTGGCTCGGCTGCTGGACTACAATATCTCCGATGAAATGACAAAGGTGAGTGGAGTTGCACACGAATGAATAACAAAGCGGGAAATAACCCTTTTTAATCACATGTGGAGGTTGGATGCAGGTTAGATGTTCCTTCATGTACTCAGCCGGCCTGTGGGTGTCTGTTCACTGTCTGTAACTGCTCGTCCTTCTGATGTCCCCAGTCAGTTGAGGATGACTTTGTAGATATGAGGAAGGACGACCCCCAGAGCGTGTCTGCTGAGGACCTCCACAGGATGCTCGTCGTTGCGAGGTGGGCGTAGATTAAGTTTATATAAGCTACTTTACTTGGCATTTATCCGCTCTTTAAAAGGCATTAAGTGTTAACAATAATTTAACAGATACGTTAAGCAACAACAATGTTATCTGAGTATTTGTGAGCTGACTGTGTGTGTTGGCAGGTTGCTGTCTCTGAGCCTGGGACAGACCTCTCTGTCCAGAGACAGCTGGCTGAGAGCCAAACACATCGACATGCTGCGGAGGAGCCGGATGGAGCAGCACAAGTGTGTCAACGGCAACGAGCCGTGATCACAGAGAGAGACCAATGAGACGGCTTTTGTTTTTCTTTTGATACCTTAAAAAAAAGTTTGTAATAAAGATGCTTTTCATATGCCAGAAATAGCTCGTCGTCGTTCAACTTTTTTACCATTTGCAGATAACGTTTGGATATATTTTCCCTTCATGGACTAATAGGACTAATGTAGTTTGTACGTACAATAATTTCAATGTCTATCATTACTCCCGTTCTGTCTTCCTTTTGCCAGCAGTGTTGCTGCAGACCAAACTTTGTATGTTAACAGAAAAAAATCTTTTTAACCTCCAATAATATGTAAATATAGTAACGAGGTCTGGAGCTGCCGGTGTATATAAAGACCAAACTGTTGCATATGCTGGCATGGAGACTTCCTGTTCATGGATTTTGACAATAAACCTCATGCAACACTCGTTCACTCATACTTTTTATTCCAACAGGAATATCTTCCTAAACAAAAAGTGTACAGTGCATTTTGTTATCAAGTAACACACTCAAAAGAGGATAAGAATAAATAGGATACTTTAATATACAATACAATCTCAGTACACTGTGGAAAACAATGACAGTTGGTAAAGAGGAGAGATATGACCACAAACATTCAGATGGAATGGCTAGAAAATGTGCTTGAACAGTGCAAATCAAAAGCTTTAAGACCTCTAGTCGCATAATAATGTGTTATGGTCTAGGGTCCTAATGGGAGGAAGGGAGGTGGGCGGGCAGGAGGAGGCGGGAGGACAACCACAGAAAACAAATGAAAAGAAGTGGTTGCAAAAAGCACTTGCTGTAAACAAAAAGGGACAGGAGAAAAAAAATCTCACCCAGCAAATAAGAGGATCAAACATAACTGCCAGCTTTTGCATATAAAAACCAGACACCAACACTTTAGCGTTGTGGTCTATCAGGAATGTTGAGGATTACTGTTCCTTTCAGCTTCATACAGCCAGTTGAGGACAGAATTAAAGTTTATGCTCTGCGTGAGAACTGCTCCAGTGTTTGCAATCCTGAAGGAAGTTTAAAAACAAAAAACAAAACAACAACCACCTTTTTTACCGTCTGCATTAAAACTTTGCATTGCAGCTATTACCGTAAAGCTTTTGGCAGCGCCACACGCTATCAGCAGGTTCAGTGACTATATAATGTAGCACCCGCAAAGCAGCCCACAGTCTCACTTAACACAATTATAGTCAGATAAAATATACACGGATCCCACATCGTATCTGCTGGTGAGCAAGCTGAAGAAAGAAAACAGGCAAATGTAACTAAAAAATGAAATGTGACAGTTTATCTTGGGATATTTCAGCTCGAAGCAAACCAGATTATTATTATTATTTGTCCTAACGACACACAGCAGTGGGATGAAGTGGCCTTGGCTCTTTATTTCTTCCGGAGGACTGTAACATGGTCAGGAGATTTACACTGAATAACAGTGGTCAAGTTTAACGAGTGACTAATGAGGCAAAACCTCACTTCTTGAGGTCATTAAAAATTTTTTTTCAATATAATGTTTACGGCTTCATAGCACATAAATATATCTAGAGTCCTAAACACCAAGCAGCAGCAGGGATGTGCAGACACACACTCACATACTGTACAGCACACACACACGCGCGCACACACACAGCCAACACACCACACACACACACAAACCTGCTCATTTCCATCGAGAGTGTATGTGCCAGTCGATGAAATATCCCAAGATAGAGCTCGATGACGTACAGTAACCCTGAATATGATCTTTTATACAGTACACCAAATGTAACATGTTATAATGGACTTAAAAAGGTAGATTTTGCCATAAATACCTGATATACATAATCCCACTTCAATTCCCTGTTAAGGCAAATATGCTTTCAGTTTGGGGAGTGCATAAAGCGTCAGTGTTTCTAATAATTGGGTGGGTGCAATTGCATATATACCTACTATATGCTACTCTCCTGTCTTTGTCAAACATGCAACGTCACTGTACAACGCTGGCTGGGAGGACTCAAACAAAACCCTCATTAGTTAATTATTACGACCGTTAGCAGAATAGTTATTTCAGTACATAATATCTATCAAAAAAAACAACTCCAACCAGTAGTTTTCTGGTTATTCATGATTAGCAATGACAGTACTGGGTGTTCTTTTTCAAAATATAATGCTTATACCTCTCTTGAACATATGGAGCTGCCACCCTACCATCAATACAAAAAAGCTTAAGGGGAAAGCTCTACTCAGGGAACGGATAAACATTACAATACTCACTGTACATATCGACAACCGGGGGATACTCTTACTAAAAGTCTCGTGTAGTCTTTGTTTCATTAACGGCATATCTTCTAAGTTACACTTAACATTGATATTACATAGGATATAACTACGTACGGTATGTCGTCTGGCTAGTTTTCTGACAGCTATACAAAGGGTAATAGTTAACATGGACTTGTCCCTTTCGAGGGGGAATCACAAAAGATATTTGGTTGGATTCTACAACAACTGTTACAAATTGAAGGTTATTACGAGGTCTATATCACAAAACGCCAACGAGTGACCCGCACGTATACATGATGACATACAGTACATGATAAAGTCAGAGTTGGTCTTTCAACATGCAGCTAATGTTTACCTGTCTTGTCGATATCAGCTGTTATCGTTAACCTCACATGCAAGCATTGTGGGTAAAAATAACGTCTCTTTTCTTATTTTTTGTTTAAACTAAAGATAGTGACATGTTTACATGCACAAATACTCTGCATATCACGCTGGAAGTACGTGAGTTTAAACGTCTTAAAAACTTAAATAGCTTAGTTATGTATCTGTAAAGGTAATTATAATGAGAATATCCTTTAAATCTGACAAGAAAACTGTACTTTAAGAACGATTTAACAGATAGCAGTATTATTTCTGGAGTCATTTAAGACTTTAAAGTACATACACTCATTTCAATCAAATGTTCAACAGAGAACAGTTGGGGATTATAACTGACTCCTCAAATACTTGAACATTTCCTATTTTTATACCACTACTCTTGAGACATAAGTATCAGAAATGTTACGGTACCGCCATTATTGCAATTTCAATAGTGAGGAAATATTAAACCATAAAAGGAGAGGACTGACATTTCTATCAGCGTGCAAGGTTGCATGGCAAAAGGGATGTGAGTTGGATGTCTCTAAGGGAATCCATGGTTATGTGCATGTAAACATGGTCACTGTCATGTTGGGCTTAACTGTAAGTTCTGTACAAGAGTCATCATTAACGTGGGCAGCCTTAACTAATCGGGGAAATTTAAGAGCGCGTTTCTTGGCCGAGTAGTGACGCTATGTGCAAGCTGCTGCTACTGCTACCATACAGGAAGTTTCTACACGATGTACGACTACAAAATCCTGCTACAAGGAAAGCACTAGATCTGAATGATCCTGGTCTGGCACTGTGTAAACATTGCCTTCAGCTCGTTCTCTTGGGCTTCGTTAACAGTATCTGGCTCCGGGCTCTTCTGTACCTTCGCCACAGCAAAGTTGATGCCCTGGGTGAGGCCCGCCTGGGTGAAGCTGGCCACCTGGACCATGGAGCTCCTGATCTTGGCAAAGGGGGACACCACTCGGCTGCCGTTGCTGTCGGCAGGTGACGGGCCGAGGCTGCCTTCAATCTGTGAACCCAGACTCCTCTGAGAGCCTCCTGAGGCCGCGGAGCTGGGCTTCTGGACGGTGAGGAGGTTGGAACTGGAGGTAGTGGACTCAACGTCTAGCTGGGACGGTCTGGGGAGCTGGGGCTCCTCCTCCTCCTCGTCCTCCTCCTGATGCTGCGGATTGGAGCTTGGCTGCTTGTCTGAGTCTGCTGGGGTCTTGTTCTGCACAGGCACGACGGGATTGAGTGGGGGGACGGCAGCAGGCGGCTGCTCTCCAAACACCTCAACGGGTTTGGTCTGTGCATCCTGGACAAACTGGTGGCAGTAGGCATCAATAGGAGTACCAAAGTCAATCAGGATGGCTTCTTCAGCCACCGAGGCGGCCCCGGGGGACTTGTCATCATTGACTTGAGAGGGACTTTCCTGCTTCCCGTCACACCCAGTGACCCGAATAACAGAGGGGATATTTAGCTCCACGCTACCAATCGACTGGGAGCGGCTGCCCAGTCGTGGGTTTGATGCTACAATGCCGCAGCTGGGCAGCACATAGTCCACGTTTTCTAAAGACCCAGAACACGGGTGCTCTGGGTCAGAATTATAGGAGTCAGAGTCGTCAGAGATTTCAGAGTGCACGTCACCAATATCTTTTAGAACTCCCGTTCCCGGGTTGTTATCGGACGTTTCCAAGCTGCTGTCCGACTTCCACAGGTTGACATGCATAGTTGGCTTCAGGAAATTGACTTTTACATCAGGCTTAGAGAAGTTACCCAGCTTCCCGAGGGGCTTGAAGGGGCCGATGTTCACGTTCGTCTTGGTCTGTTTCACTTTCTGATTGAGAGAGGAGAATTTGTTGAGGAGGAAACTTTTGCCCTGCGCCAGACCAGAGCTCCCCTGGCCCTGGTCAGCAGGTTTGTTCTGGATGCCCATTATATCCTCATGAGGTTTACTCTGCCGCCTGGAACACCGATACAAACAAACAACGTCAGTACGCGACCCACAACTGTTGTTGAATGCTAATGATCTTAATGACAGTACTCACCTCTCCAGCTTCTTTTCAACTACAAGCAGATCCAGTCCTGTAGCCTGTTTAGTTATGCGAAGCATCTCAGCTATGCATTGTAATGTGTCTGAAATGTACCACATGGTGAGACTCAATCAGTATATGCAGAGTTTGTGATCTACCAAGTTTAGTTTTCTTGTTGTTTTAAAAGACTTTTAAGAACTACGTTCTACCTTTTCCGTCATCTTCAGGATTTCGTGTTGCTGCTCTGAGCGTGTGAAAGTATCCACTCGTCTCTTCATTCCTGTAATGCAAACGCATGCAGCAGAACTTTGGCTTCCCAAACAGCGTCGGCTCTGGACCTGCAAAAGAAAACACAACTCATAACTTCCATTTTCAGTGATGTGCTTTCCTTGCATGAATCATATTCAGCAGAGATGTTGCTGAAAGGTTACTGAGAAACTGTCAGGCACACTTTTAGGAAGTGTTGAGTGACTCAGTGTACAAGAACCTTCACTTCTGCTTTGAGCCTAACGTACCGATTTCGATCTTTTCCAAACCCTCTAAATTGAGGCGCTGGTACTGGTTGACTTTATCTGCTTCTTCGTCATAGCTGCAAGAAAATACATTTAAACATAAGTGAATCTATAAGAGCAATTTTTAAAGAAAACATTTCTGCAAATTGAAAGTCAGACTCACTAAGCAATGTAATAAGCTTTGTCAGACAGAAGCAGAAGCACATCCACGTCTTTGTTGTTTGCATCAACGAGGCTGGTGGGAAATAAGTGAATGGTATCATGAAAAGAGCAATTTAGAAACTACTGAAAACATGGTATAAACAGAGCTCATTATCTATAGTTAATGAAGTAATCAGACTAACCTCATGTCACAATTGATGAGGGCCCAACCTCCGTGAAACTTCTCGTCATCAGGCAGCAAAAGCTGCATGTAGGTTTGCAGCAGGAGGCTGACCTGCTCCTGTGCTCCCCTCTGGCTCTCCTTCTCTTTCTCTTCATGCTCCTTCTCCTTACTGAAGATGGAGTAGAGGTCCTCCGTCACAGGCAGGCCCATCATTAGGTCTGCAGGGAGAGGCAGGGGATTCAGAAGAGTGGGTACAGATACACGAACACAGCTACAATATCTTGAATGTCTTCTGTTTTTCCATACCAATGACTGATTGTCTGTAAGCATCCCTAAAGCGGTTCAGATAGTAGCGGTTGGCTGAGTTCACGCCATCCTTCATCACACCAGCCAGTCTCCTCTCCCCCGTCCTGGTGAAATCTCCCTAAAATACATCAAACAATGTCTGTTAAATGTGCCCTTTGACTCACCTTTGAATTGTAACCTTTCAGTCCACTTTTAAGTCCAACAGGCTCAGTCCATATTTGTCATTCTGATGTGTTTCATCCACAGCAATACTCTACTGATTCATGAGTCGCACTGTTGGAGAAAGCTACGACTGACTGTGCCAACAGAAGATGACACACTTCACTACTGTTTGTTTAAGCTGATTCAGAAGTGAACGCGCGTGCAAAGGATAATGACGTTACCTTGAGCGCTGCTGTGCCTGCGTACTGTCTGCTGATGGTGTCTCCATTGTTGGCCCACATGATCTGATAAATCCTGTAGCATTTGAGGGGCAGAGGCTGCTCTGGAGGCATCACACCCAGTTTCTTCAGCTGCAGGAAGGAAAGAGACAATAGAGAAAGGTCAGCATATATCTATTTTTATTAACTGCTCAGTTTACACTTGTATTTGCTCATTAAATTGAATGAATATAGTGGAGTTTCTGCACAGCTGAGTTAGTGTGTAAACTATGCATGTGTGTGAGCTTATGAGCAAATATATGCACATGTCAGTAATCTGTCATACACACAAAGTAAACTGCCTACAAACTAACAGAGAGAAGTTGAATCCCGCTACAGTAAAGCACTTTGTAATCACAGTTTTAGAAAGCAGTCAATGATGTTTATGATGATGTTGATTATTCTATGTTATTAGTACTGGTATTATTTATAAAAGTTAAATAATAAACATTAACGGTAATGTTTTTTAATGTGTATTTTTACTTTTAAATGTTGTATTTTTACCTATCTTGTGATGTTATTTATGTTTAGATGTTCTTGGATGTTATATTATGTTATTCTGATGATTGCTGGAGTATGTGATGTGTCACATTCCTGTGTGAACAGGCAATAAAGTCTTATCTTACACTTGATGGGCTCTCTCCGGAGAATGAAGTTTAATTTTACGGGCACTGAGGAGCTGTTAGTTTACTTATCTGGACACGAGTTTGATAAGAAACAATGTAACTTTCGGTCTAAAAGGTCACTGGGGCAGGAAATAGTGAGTTTAATGTAGAAAGCAACACCTACACAATGACATATCAATATGTTGTGAACTAGACAAGGAGCAGATCTCACCTGTTGCTCCATCACCACCCGAGCAATAGCAGCCTGCACCACGTTGGTCCTGTCAAGACAGTCCATACAGTTGACTCTGAAGATGCCCTCCTGCTTGCAGATAACTCCGGCCTGATCCACCCTGACAGAGGACGAGATCATAGTATGCATTCATGAGATTACAGTCTTTATCCCAATAATAAACAGGATCACTAACACGCACTCTAACGAAACAGGCCCCAGATGAAGATAAGCAAGAGTTCACGATAGCAAGAAACTCTCAGAAAATACTGACATGAAACTTACCAGGCCCACTTCATGTCAGTGATGATGTCAGAGATGGCGTCTGTCAGTATTTGTACATTCTCGAACTTCATACCTCGGCTGAGAAACAGGATATAAGAAGCACAAAGGGGAAGTTAATGCATTGTGGTATGAAACAGAGCTTTACATCTGCTCAGAGAAGTGTTTCTCTCACCAGTGTTCGTGGAAGTCAAATGAAACATATGTGAGATTTGGGTTGTTGTAGAGCAAGACCTGCTTCAGATACGCGTCGCCAATGATCTTCTCTCGTCCACCTTGATCCACTAAGTTAATGATGACCTGAAGAAGACAATAAAAAGTGTTTGACATGAGGAAGGACAACTAACCTGGAACAAAGTTGACAAAGTTTGCATTCTTTAAAAAGGCCAATACTTTTAACTACAAAGCAGCATCATCTTTCTCTCTGCAGCTCAACAGCAGCAATTGTATTAACACAATCTGCTTAAATACATTTTCAGTCTGACCTCCAAGTAAAAGATGACAAATAGTAAATAATGTCACCAGTTCCTGTCAGGGGACTCTCAGGGTAAAGTTTAGTTCACACCTTCACAGTCATAACATTCAAACTAAATGCAGCCGCAGGTGGCAGAACAAACACAGAGGTGACAGATTTAAAATCACAATCTAACACCAGACTGACACATGCAAATACAAATAATTGTGCTGAACACAACCCACCTGTGTCTTGTAGAGTTTCAGCTGTTCTTCAAAGTGAGCAGAAAAGTAAGACATGGTCTCCTTTTCTCCTGAAATGTTAGAAAAATATGCCCACAAATGATTTCCATATAACTGAACCTGGTCAAAGTCTTTAAGAGATCTAGTTTGCAAGGCTGTATATTGTTGTGGAGAAGAAATTCCCCATATTCAATCTGTAAGTTCTCCAAATCAGGAGCAAAGACCAATGACTGACTATATTTGATTGATATGTAAGACATAGCTCAGATACACTGGACAGATGTGTAAAAGAGAAAACTGGTACTGAATGAAATGTCTTTTTTTTTTACAACCAAAAATAAAACAGGAAGTGAAAGGCCCACTACACTCAAACAAAGCCTCTATAATAGTGTACGCAAGACAATGTAGTTCTACTGACCTTTCTCTAAGCGTGGCCGGGGATTGTAACGGTACCCCGCCTGGCTCCAGAAGACAGGCACAGAGCCACGGGTCTGCACAAAGGACAGAGTGTGGCTGTGCACATGGATCAACTGCTCTGTCTCCACATAGTTAGCCACATGGCCATCGGTATCCACTCCTCTGCGTTTGTACCGCATCCCTTTGGGCAAGGAGAATGCATTGACTCTATTCAGATTATTTATATCACAGATCACGCTTCACTGGAAGAGAACAAAAACTAACTTGTCTGCACAGTTGTTCAAAGCCCTTTGTGGATAAAACCCTTCACTGTGGGGTGATAAATCAGTCCTAATTACACAACATGACCCATTTATTTAGCAGCTCTACCTGCGCGGTGGCGGCTACGTCTGGAGATCAGGGCCACGGTGAAACGGGGATGGATGTCATCAACACAGGTGACCTCCTGTGGTGGGGTCTCAGGGCTGCTCCTTTCCTCGTCGGATGTCTCGTTGTAGTTCACCACCAGTTCCTCCACCTGTACAAACCCCTGGATGATTGGGATCACCCAGAAGTCCACCTCTGGCACCTGAAGCATTCAAAAAGGAAAGAAAATAGCAGGACAAGAATATAAAAATGCTGTTCGCCAGGTTGATAAACAGCCGTGAGCCTTTAATTAAGATAATTATCTCGAGAAAATTAGCTTTGATATCTCGATATAATAAGACAAGATAATCAACCTGTTATCACAAGAAAACAAAAGGTTGTTTAGTTTTATTACTTCTTATCTTCATCAGAGATCAGAAGTGCAATACCAGCGTGCACAGATGGTGTATTACATTAGCATGGAGCTCTTTAATGTAGTAATTAGTTCCACATAATGGACAATGCATGGAGGAATGACATGCAAGTTCACATTCATTTTTCTACTGACCAAACTGAGCAGAGCAGCCTGGGAAAAAGTCCATGAAAAGAATCTGGACATTGCAGGGATGTTTGAACTAATTTAATAAATCTTCTCGTGATATGTTTTGTCAGTATTGCATCACGTTGCCAGGAAATGAATAACCTAAATTAACTCTCAGGTGTAGATTCTACAGTCTTTCCAGTTCAGCCGTGAATCTTTCCCGACAGTCAGTGATCATCAGGTATGATCAAATTATCCTTAATTATCCTGTGATCTCGAGACACAAAAGTAGTTTTCTCGTGATAAATTATCTCATTATCTAAAGAAATCTGCCTTTTGTTCTATCAAATTAACTCATGATCTCGAGATAATGGCGTGAAAAAAAAGGACTGTAAGCACGGCTGCTCTCGGCCTCCGTAGATAACGAAGCACTTTGCATCCACCCAAGTTTCCAAAGGAGACAATCTTTCATAACTCGGAGCCGTTAGCCTTTCTATTCAGTATTCACTGAGTATTTTCATACTGACAAAGCTCTGGGAATTATCAGCACATTCAACTGCCACACTTACACAGCAGGGCCAGTTACACCCTTAAACCTCGCAACAGAAAGAGAAAGAGAAAACAACCAAGCAGTCCTCATTTACCTGCAGGTCAATAAGGTCTTGGATCATGTGTTTATTCCAGAAGAAACGGTCATCCACCTTTCACAAAGAATAGAGATTATTATCAATCAGATTTAAGGGATTTATCTTTTAATAAAAACCCAACAAGTTGTTAAATGTGTTCGTCTCCTCACCTGTTTCCATAGCGGTAAACTGGATTTATCCGAGTCTCCCTGACGCTGCACACTGTTCGTCAGGTCGTAGGTCATGCTGTAGTAGAAGGAGTCCGAGTCCATGAATACCTTATACAGCTCATCCAGCAGCCGCCTCTCCAGACGTTCCTTCTCTTTGTTTTCCTTGACCTGGAAGGCAGGGGAATACTGGATTGGGATTGGATGGATAGAAAAGAGCAGTAAGCTGACAAAGCAAAGAAAGCAAAATCTATGAGACCTTCAAAAGTGTGAAAGAAAAGGAAAAAGTTCAGGGTAAGAGAAAACACTTGTATAAAGTGCACAATACAAACACATACCTTTTTCTTGATGGGCACACCCACGTTAGACTTGATCTGGCTGAAAGTTTTCATCAAGAACTTTGACTCATCGGGAGACTGGGCCAGTTTCTCTGGTTTGTCGATTCCAAAGTGATGCTTCTTGCAAAGCTGAAAAAGAGGATCCTCCATCAAATGTATGAAATTTGACAAACGTCATAAACATAACAGTGATATTTATAATTGGTACCACCTTAAATATCTCAAAACAAGAAGTAAACAAAGAGTTTATTACTACCCACTACAAACAGCCAAAAACAAACTCTACAGTATATTGTTCTCTCTATCAGCTACATTGATCTAAAGGACTTCTAGACACAAAAGGGTTGGACTGATCACTCTGCAGTACGAGGACAATGTACAGCAGTACGGGGTCTAAAAGCCTATCCAGGAACAATCATCCTCCTCCGTATTTACTCACTTGAAAATACTCTGTCTCACCGTCCATGAAGCTCCCCTGAAAGACTGAAATCTTAGCAGTATTCAACTTCCTTTGAGATCTATCACAGCGATTTTTTAACGTCTGCATTTAATTCTCATTCCAAATGTGTGGGCGAAAACAAAACTGATCTTTGAATAAAATTAAACAAAAAAAAAAAGAACATTTACTACTCATTTTGCATCACTGTCAGCCCATCCGAGATGAATCATACTCTTGCGCATGCAGGGTATTCTTGGGCACATTAAATAACAAATTAGGACTCTCACAAGCGCGGTTACATTGCTTGTCGGGAGCTGAATGCGGTAATTAAAACACAAGTGCATAAACACCGGTTCATTACAGTACACACACACACCTCCAGCTCGAGCTCCTGAGGCTCTTCGTCAGACAGAGGAATGACAGCTATCTTGGTGATCTTGTAGACTTTGTGATTGCCTGGTAAATGGCCCACGAGTGCTTTCTGGCGGATTAATACGAGGCCCAGAGGAAGATCTGCCAAGAGGAGATAGAAGAAGACGAAGAAGGGGGGAGTTGAATCATGGGTGAAGAATTCCTCACATTCTGAAAGGTGTGAAGAAAGCAGCTGCACAACCAGTAATTTCATTTTAAATAAAGATAACACAAGACATCTGGTAAATAAATATTAAATCCATCTGAATTTACAAGAATAATCTATATGTCTGTGAAGGGTATAATATTCAATCTTCCTTCCCTGAGGGAACACAAGAGGCAACAAAATCACATCATAAATTTTAATCATCACCATCAGCTCACTCCTCTTCATACACTACACACATTTCAAAGTACTTTTACACCATTTTTCACACTTTTCCTGTTGAGTAAGAAACATACTAAGCACTGGATGATCTGGTAACTCAAGTGTCTAGTGCACACAGATGGAAAATACTGGCAAGAATGTGTGTGTGTGTGTGTGTGTGTGTGTGTGTGTGTGTGTGTGTTGTGTGTGTGTGTGCGCTCTGTGCAAAACAAAACAACTGAGGATGAAATGTTCTTTCTCCACTTACCTGTGTGAAGCTGTATCTTTCCAATCACACCTTCTACCAAACCCAAACACACTGGGTTCCAAGCCAACAACAGGTCTGTCGCTGAAATATAAAAAAACAATATGGACATCAGAACATCGGCTCGGGATCAAACATGACTAAAACAACTAGATATTCACACACTAAAAGACTTTTTGCTGAGAAAACCTTCTCAGTTAACTAAACAGAAAGTACCTCAACATAGTCATGGTTGTGTGGTTTCCTGTTACCATGCAAAGACCTGTTTTGAGTACGCAGTAAAGCACGCTTAACCTCAAAAGACTTGAGGACCTGCTTTAGAGATTGCAGCCGTAACAACCCATCGATAGAGGGGGGTCTCACTAAATCAGTCTCGTATGGTGTGTCATTCATTATGCATGAAAAGTACAGCTATTACACTCACTTTATTTAAGAAAGTGTAATCTGACTGGAGAGACACAAAGCTACCCTGTCTCAATTTACTAACACAGCCAGTTACGGCGTCGGACTAACTCGGGTGACTAAAAAGGAAGAACTGGAATGCTTAACATTGGTGACGGATTTAAACATCACAGTGGAGAAAACTGGAAAAATGTGAAGGGTGTGGCCAGGGGTGGAGAACGTCTAACTGTAGGCAGCCTCAGACAATGACTCTTCCTGTTCCACCAGCCAGACAATTTCATGTACAGCCGAGCGGGAACTGGCTGCCTACAAGAAAAAGGTCTTGTAGGCATAAAATAATAATAAAATTTAACTTAAAATAATAGGAAAAAGTCCCCTCAGCGTGTGTATTATCATGGAAATACTTCACTGTGTGATTGAGAGAGGAGTGGAAACCCAGTGAGGAGTGGAAACTCCTTTTTCCAATTAAATAATGAAACAGTGGTGCAACTAAAAACCTGTTCAGGATGGCTGCACCGACCACACAGGACAACACGCAACAGCCTTATAGAAACTTTTATTTTACTTCCAGCGGTTTCAGTTCCCTTCACCTGGGAGTATTTCTCACAACCCCAATGGTATTCTCATTCAATAAGAAAGTGTTGCAACAGTGCTCACTTCTGCAAGTGTGATCGAGGTGTGCTTGCCAGGAGCTGCTTGAACAGACTTAACATGCTGGTTTGAACCTGTATTTAATGTGCCCCTTCTTGTTTTCCCATGCATTATGATGGCGATGCATATTAAATCATATTAGAAAAGGGGACATCTGTTAAGCTTCACCTGAGTGTTTGACTTAAAGAAGCACTGAAAAGGTCACATTTACCTTTCAGTGTGTAACATAAGAGGCAGAGCAAACTTTGGAGAGTGTTTGGGGTGTTGGCACTCCCGGAATGAGGATTTCCAGACTTAATTAAGGCGTATACACCTCTTCTCTACCTCTTCTCCTCTTCTCTACCTCTTCTCTACCTAAACAGCTCGTATCGTGTAACGTAGCTGGTTAATGATCATTTACTGGGATTACTCTCCTTTAGATAAAACACCAGTAAACTCCTGTGTGTCAGCTCCAGTGACACACAGCTTTTTATTCCTCTCTAATAACACCAGATGTTAGTTTTTAAGGCAGCAGAGAAGGCTGTCACCCCCCACCCACCACCCACCACCACCACCCCCCCACCACGGTACGTACCAGGTCTGACCGTCATGGTCCCGTCTTTTCGGCTGCACCACAGAGCTCGGTCCCCGCTCTGGAGGATGTAGTCGTCTTTGGCTTGGAACAGCTCCATTTTGTCCCTTTACGTTACACAATAAAGCAGGTGACTAACCGGCCGTGGCAGCCAGGTACAGGTGAAGAACCAGCGGCGTCCACCGTCTCGGTCGACTGGCTAGCTACGGTTAGCTACAGCGGCTAGCCTACCTAGCTCGCTAGCAGCAGCTGGATGCGCGTCGGGTTTGTTTATTCCACTTCTGCGCATGCTGATAATCTCATTCACTTCCTGGTGGAGAAGCGTCCCTTGGCGCGCGCATACCGGAGAGATAATTAAAGATAAAATACACACATCAACGAGTGAGCAGCAGCAGTGTGTGTGTGTGTGTGTGTGTGTCTCTCTCTTGTGTGTGTGTGTGTGTGTGACCGTTACCGACAGCTTCCTGCCCTAAACAATAACACGTGACCCTGTGGCGTCATCGCCGGTGTGCAGGTGTTGTGATAAACCCGCAGGTAACATTTTATAACGAGGCCTCTGCCCGTGTTGGGATGTGTAATCTGTGTGTAATCTGTGTGTAATCTGTTGCTCTTCGCTGGTTTAAGAAGTAGTTTAGTTACTTTAACTAGTTGCACTTGTTTTTACACACAAAATTTGGCTTTTTTTGCACCTTGTCATTAAAATTAAATTAGTTTTTATTATCTTCCGACAGGGCAGCTCCCTTTCCCCCTTTTAATCCTTACTGTCCTTTACTTTCACTAACTGTTTACCACTGTATTTATTCTGTAAACAGGACAAACAAGTGTTGGTAGTTTAGATTTTTTTTGCTTCAGTTTAGCTTATATTCTTATTTTATTATTGTTATTATTTTATGTGCTGCTGGGTCACATTAGACTTCCCCCCTAGAGGATCAATAAAGGAACAGATTATCTCTAATCAATGTGATGGGAATATTTCGATCTTCCAAACTCATTTCCTCCAGCATTACAAAAAATGTATCTTTATTTATTTATATAACTGTAATATTATTACTGAAATATATTAGTAATAATTAGTTACCCTACTAGTTGCTGCTCATTATAATGTAATGCATGAAGTATCATAAATAAACATTTTTGTTAAGTGATTTATGATTTTTGTCTGTGTTTACTTTACTTTTACTTATATTTACTAATTTAATAAATGATTAGAGTAATTATTAACTATTAATGGTTAATAAATATTTTATTTTGAAAGAAACAATATGTTAATAACTGGACTCCCCATTCTGTTTAAAGTAAAAACTAAAGTAACAATGTGTGACCTCATTTTATTAGCTTTTAACAGCCATTAAAATGCCTTACTTAATTTAATTTAATTTAAATAATGTAATACTTACATGCTACAGCAGGGGACGAAGTGATGAAATTATGTATAAAACAACCCTCAAATAAAAAGATCCTTATTCTGACGTCAGTTGGCCTCATTTGCGTATATAAAAACTAAAAAACACACAATGTGCACATATTTTGAAGCGTCCCCGCCTATCGAGGACTCAGTTATGACTCAGCGTAGCTTCTGGGGGGAACAGACAGAGAACAGCTGACCTCAGACGGACTCATATCTGTTGATCTTAACATTCAAAACTCCTCAGTGCAAAACTAAGCCAGAGACAGCTGACAGCGAGGGTCAGGGACACGTATTTAAATCCAAAGCACACTCATTCTCCGTACATTATCAGACTATAGATTCTTTTTTTTTATTGAGCTGGAGAGAAAATTATGGAATTATGAATATTTTGACTTAGTATCTCATTATATTTCATTATTTTGACTTAGTATCTCATTATAATGACTTAAATACATTTTTTTTTTCCTGTCACATTGGCAGAAATGGGCTTCCATAGAAAACGGCTTTCTCCTATTTTATTACTTGGAATAATCTGCATTATTTACATCTTTGGAACCATTTCAAGCCCATGTAACTGCCTTATTTGAGCTGGATTTATACTGTAACTCGGCCTCGGAAAAGGGATTTCAATCTCAAGGGACTTTTTCTGGTTAAATAAATAAATACATAATTACCTTGTGGACCTTTTAATTCATTATACGGTTTACTTTAAATGCACAAATTAATTATAAAACTGGGAATAAAACCAGTCTCAGACTTTGCACAATGCGTGTGAACCCAAATATTAGCCGAAATCTGTGTCAAATACATTTTTTATTTTCAACCATACCAACGTGACTTGCTTTCAACAATGCATCAGCCTGCTACTGATAAACTGTGATCAACACTAAGCCACAATCCATGATTGGTAAAGGTGTCAGACAGTGATACTACCTATCGTAGTGACAAATTAACAAACAGTGAAGGGTATCCTTAAAAGTAATATTTCGAATCCCTTTTAAATGACAGATTTTATTTAATCTGTTGGTGAACTGGGGCCTTTTTCTCACAGTAGGCATTTTTAAGGCTTTCAGGCCGCGTTAGTGTTACTGTTACAGATTGTGGCTTTGGTAGTTATACAATCTTTAAACTGTGATTCCTCGTTAGCACCGAGTGCTGATTGTCTCACATCTCAAGTAAGATTACACATCTCACCTCCATTTGTCATTACACATTCATAAATGTACCAAAATACTATATAATGATATAAATACTGATATAAGGTTGTTTTTTTTTTTTTGAAATAACAAGTAAACCAATGCACATACAAACACTCAAACACATCAATCAAAACTTGTGTAACTTATACATTTCAAATGAAGTGCTGCTGATTTTTTCAGCATGATACATTTCAATGATGGCAAAGTGCAAAGACGGCAAATTTCAGTAATGCACCAAAAAAAAAAAGCAGCATCTAATAAACATATTCACTGTGTTTTCTGTGACAAAGCAGCTCCAACATGTAGCTGTGTGGCTATAAAGGGGAAAATGCTCTTCTGTTAACTGAGTTTTGCAGTGAGTTCTGCTTTAAAGCTCCCCAAATGTTTGCACTCGTGTACTAACTGATGTGCTGACTGGATTAAGAAAAAAGCTTCATATAACATTTGATCAACAACAAAAAGGCAACTACACGTAACATTTCTTAAGAAAATACTTCTACTTTTCTTCCGTTTATTGATAAAGGCCTCTTATTCAAACTTTTAATTTCACTAGAAATTGTTGTCAACACCTCGATCATGACAGCTGTCTTATTATGAAGACGTCGGCACAACATAGAAGGCAACAACATTGGCTTGAAAAACATGATTGCACTGAGCTACCATCAATTATGTGCTGAATGGCAGGAAATACCAACACTGTTAATCAATGCATGCAACTTCCACAAATGCTGTAGATAGAGGAGGAGGAGGAGGAGGAGAGTTAGCCGGAGGAGACTTGTTCACTATCAAATATACAGCAGGTCGTCCTGCTCTCCTCTTGATTATGAAGTGTGCAGTCATTATGATATCTCCTTCGCCAGCTCTACATTCTCCTTGGTGATCATGCTGGGCTCTCCTTTCTGTGTCAGGCTGTCTCCGTGCTCCTCCAGTTGCTCCAGTTCTTCCAGTATGTTCTGAACGCGACGGACTCCGTCCCGTCTCGCCTGCCGCACGTCTACGCGACCCTCTGGGTCGACCGAGTCCAGCGCTAAGAGCTCTTTGGTCAGCAGCTCCTCCAGTAACAAGTATTTCTTATCATTCTTCTTCCCGGCAAAATATCTCACCTCCTGCTCCAGTTTAGCGACCCGGCCGACTATCTGCTGTACCTTAGCCAAGCCTGGGTGGACTGGGCCCTGAGCAGCCTGTTCAGTCTCTACCTTTGCAGGTGGGACCTCCGGGGGAACGGCTGTCATGTCCTGGGCCTCTGGTTTTGGAGGTATTTGAACTGTGATATCCGCAGTGTGTTGTTGTGGTTGCTCTGGTTTCTGGGGCTGCTGGAACTGTTGCTGCGACTGCATTAACTGTTCGGGATGCTGAGGCTGTGGAGACGTCTGAGGTGGTGCCTGCTGGAACTGCTGAGGTTGCTGAAACTGCTGAGGTTGCTGAGGTGGAGGCTGTTGGAACTGTTGAGGTTGTTGAGGCTTTTGGACGTCAGCTTCTGTGTGCAACGGCTGGAGGAGCTGTGTGTTCTCGGGTTTCTGCTGAGTGATTTGCTGTTCTTGTTCAGTTTTCTGGGGCGGGTCTCTTGTGAGGACGTGCTGCTGAGTCTTAAGACGTTAAAAAAGCAGTCATTAGGATCTGTCGCAATCTAGGTCAACACATTGCTGACGACAAGATCAAATATTTTCTGAACATCAAGGTAAAAATCCACAAGAAAAACACACAGAAATATAATTACCTGTGGTCGTTCTCCCAGCACCTGCGTTATGATAGGTGACTGGCTTCTAATATGAGGTGGGAGGTGAATAGAGTCGCGATGCTGGGGAAGCAGTATCGGAGAGGCCCTTTCCCGGGGAGGCTGCATCGGTGCAGAGTAGCCGGGCCATTCGTCGGGCTGAATGCGATGGTAGGGCTGCTGGTGCTCTGAGTAGGGGACGCGCTGAGAGTAGACCGAGGGATTCAGCTGAGGCTGCGTTTGTGTTGGGCCTCCTCCGCCCTCGTGGATCACCGGGATGGGGATGTAACCTGCTTGAAGAGCAGTGCTGCTGGGCCGTGAGGGTTGGTGATGCGGGACAGTGTAAACCTTGGAAAGAGATCAAACAGAAAATTCAGCCATTTTTGCTTCCTAACTGCCTGCAAATACAGAATTTATAGCATGCGGAGTCTTAAGTTTTACGTCTGCTGTTGGTGACACAGGTGAGCCGGCCTTTCCAAGCTCAGCGGAGCAGCTGTCTGAAGCTCCGTGTAAAGGTGATCTGGGCCTGCAGTGGAGCCCTGGCGTCGGGGAAGGCGTCCGCCCGTCTGTCCGGATGTTCTGTGCGGTGCTCGGCTGGATGTAGGAATAACACGGATGCTGCTGCTGCCTCAGTTCTGCTCCCTCGTGGAAGACCGGGATGGGGACGTAACCCGGGCGGAGAATGGGGTGCTTCATCTCCCTCACGAAGGTCTTCTGTGTCTCCTGAGGGCTTGGTTCTGGTGGTATGTTGGGTCCATTCGCTGACACTTCTCTGACCTGAAACAATAGCATTTAGATATAATTTAAAATGTCATACTGACACTATAAATAAAGTATAAAACTACTCAAACCTTTTAATTAACAACATTTTAGGCAACACTGATTTCTTTGCCTATATTAAAATTATTAAACAATTTAATCACATAAATTATTAGTTTAGTGAGTATAGTGGTGTCATTTAGAGTAAACAACACAAACTTGGTTGACTTTATGATCCTTAAACCTTATTTAAATATTAACTATTACATATTTTGCCAAGCGAGTGTTTAATTTGAGATTTACATTTAAAGAACAAATTAACCTTCGTAACCAAATGGTTTTCACAACCCGGAGGTATTTTTATATACGTGCTCTCAGTCCTGAGATAATTGCAAAGGTTAGAGGTTAAAATGTGACATTTCCACAGGGGGATGCCAAAAGTATCACCTCTTTGAGTATTTGATAAATGAAATTAACTTCTGATTCCCGCAGACTTTAGCCGCATTTCCAGTCAGACGATCGCTGTGTTTTTGATGTTTATTGCTCCAAAACAGAGGCTGACATCATTCACCTGGCAGGATTTCCTGATTTATCCCGCTCACAATAGTCCGGCACACCCTCTAAACTAACATGTTATTGGGTAATCATCATTATGTCACACAGAGAGAGGGAGAAATAACTCATTTCACTTTCGCCGTTTGACTGATTTTGTGTCAATCTTCTTTCACTACATCTATTCTGGTCTTGTCTTATTGAAAAAGAACATATGATAATCCTTTATTATCCCATATATATACATAATCCAAGAAGGTGTTTGTATGCATACAATACTTATAATCACACTTAAAGTGGGGGCTTACTATAACAGGAGATACAATATATAATTGGCACTATCAACAGACTCCAGGGTGCCACCACAATGAGAATAATTAGAGTAAATCTACATTATTTTTAAACTATTCTCAGTGTGTAACAAGTGACCGGCCACCTGCCACTGACAGCTACAGAGGAGCAACAGGTCTACTGATAGTTCAACTCTGTTAATCATTTATTGAAAGGTGATTAAAAGCTTCCAGCTACAGGAGCCTACAGAGCACACACACACACACAAAACAAAAACACATTTATATGTAAACCAGTGTGGCATTTTTCCCCCTCTAAGACAAAAAAACCAGTTAAGATATAGCTGTGAACGACCCTTTGCCCTCTGCCATTTCAGTATGGGACACTGCACACTGCCATTGCACCAATTTTATCCCCTGACAGCTGTGTCTTTTCTAGCAGATTCTTCGGGACACTAACTTTGGACAACAGTGTCCAACCCTGAGACGAAAGATTACCAACTGGCAGCCCATGTGAAGCCCCTTCATACACAGGTTCCCCCCCTCTCTCTCTCTCTCTCTCTCTCTCTGCAGACATTGTATGTTTCCACAACATGTATTTAATTAATATGATAATGTAAGACAGCCAGCGCCTCTGACATACACTATCACTCCACACACACACACACAGCTTCAAATCCTTGTAAGGGAAAAAGTTTAATATGAGCCGGAGGACGTCGCGGCGGTTGGTCCGCCATGAGAGAAAAGAAGGGACAAAAAAAATAACCGTTATTTTAAAAAATCAGTGGTCACAGGTTAGCCGTTCACACACACACACACACACACACACACACACACACACACACACACAACGCAGGGTGACTCATCGAGTAATAATAGTGTTAGATCATGACACGGGAACATAACGGGGTTGATCACCCGTTATAATAGGCTTATGAGCTGTCTGTGAGGGGGAGGCGACGGTGCCAAACAAGGCCTATAACAGTCAACAAGATTAATATGTAACAGTGATGTTAGCGCAGAACGAGGCTATAAACGCGCACTATTTAACGGGGGGGGGGAGAAAAAAATAGCCGTTGGAGAGTTCCACGGCCGTTAGCCGTTGACACTGTTAACTTTATCCCTCCGCTCTTCTTTTTTTTCCCCCCCCTTTACCTTTTTGGTGTCGTGTCTCGGGTCATTCCAGGTTGTGGTGCGGTTATTGTGATCCACGAAGAATGGCCATCCGGTCTGAGGGTCAATTTTAACCTCCCATCCGAGGGGGAGAGGGTCGTTGTCATTAGTGGCCATTGTCAGCGTCGGTGACTGCGTCTTCACGCCGTTCATGTTGCTGGCCGTCGAGTACTGAAACATTTTATACAGGCGACGGACGCTTTAAAGATTCCTTGAAGTGACGTGGGAAAAGTGGGCTGGAAGTTTCTCGAAATAGCGGAGGGTTAATGTCGGGGGCGGACAGCGCTGGATACGGTGGCAATATGGGCTCCCTGAAGCCTCTAATGTCGCTGACTTCCCTCCCCAACATAGACACACAGTGGGACCTCTGAGCTGCGTGGTTTTTTGTTTATTTATTGTTGTTGTTGTTGTTGTTGTTGTTGTTGCAGCTGTGGTGATATCAGTACATCGCTCCATCAGTGACCCCCTGTGGACCTCTCAGTTTTATTTGTTGGAATTTATTTATTTATTTATTTATTTATTTATTTATTTATTGGGAATAACCCCCTTGTAAAGTACACAATTATACAAAAACAATAACAACAACATGTTTGTGAAATAACGTGGTAACTGGAGTTAAACATGTTTATTAAATTATAAAGTTATGAAGGTGTTGTTATGGATATTGTACGACCTGTATTAGACCACTGGTTCCTCTTTTCTTTATATAATTAATTAAATTAAAGTAATATATTAAGAACTGTACATTAAACCCAAATAGTGTTTGTGTAAAAGGATTTGTAGGAATTTTTGAGCAGATTATTTACTGAAGTAAACTTTTTTATGCAATTCTTTGTCTGTATTATATATATTTTTTAATATATCATTTTTTTAACAATCTTATATAATTATAAATTCAGTGTTTTCTTCTTCCTGATGTTTGGCCATTAATTTAGATTATTTATTTTAAAAAAATAAAAACAAATTAATTTAATGATCTGTTATTTTTAAACACTTTTTTAAAATTGTTTTATTTCCAAATCTTTTTTCAACACTTAGTCTACAACATATATTTGCCATAACAAATAATTAAATTACAGGTGTTAATGTAAAATTAAAGCTATTAAAATTAATGTGTTAAATATGATGATATGCAGTTTTGTTCCCAGGTCGTCAAATACAGACGCGAGTGGTGTTCAGCTGCAGTTACACCACTAGATGCCACTAAATCCTCCACACTGGTCCTTTAAATTGAATGAAAATATTTGAATATTTGGAAATAAAACAATGTTTGATATTTATATGTAATACTTTACTAATGTGCCACAAAAAAAAAATGTTTTTGAGTTAAAATATCTTAATTTTGGGGCTTTTCCAAGCAAATATTGTGATTGTTTTGTGATTAAATCAGCATTATTTCTGCCACCCCTTAAATTCCCATGACTATTTCTCTCTATCCGCTCCTGATTAGAAAAGGGAATCCCAAGCTCTTTTCCACAATAAAAAAGGTTCCCCAAATAGATGTACTCAGACTCCCACATGAGAAGTCTTGTCCAAGGGAACTCAGTCTGGGTTTGCTTTGATTTGGTCCACAATTACATAACAGTGGCGGTGTGATACAGTGTGGGCACAGTGATACCTCCGATGACAGATCTTAATCACAGGACTACTCCAGTTCAGCCTCATACTATGAGGGAAATACTAGTAAATGTAATAAAACAAAAACTCACTCGGCTGTTTGATTATTAGAGACGCTCAAACACAGCTTTAAAATGTATTCATTGGACAATTTATTGATGTATTTTTGGAAGATAGTGAGAATTACATAATCTGTGGAGCCATTATTTGTCAAAATCCCCACTCCATAAACATTTATACATAAAATAGGAATATACTAGGTGTGTTTATAGGTTATTATATTGCAGCAGCACATTATAGGAGATACAAATGACTCATAAAGTGTCAGGATTAAATACTGTCGCTCATCCTTTGCCCTGCGTGTATTAGTGACATTCAAATTTATTATGGAGATTTTTTTTGCCAGGGGTTAGAAGTTCCAGTCAGTCCACATTGTTCAGTTGTGTACGTGCCACAATAATTGATGCCTTGAGTTATTGGAATCATTAATACGGTGATAAATCACAGCGACAGATCATCATCAGATTCTTCATTCGGTGATGATGTTTCCAGAATATTTCATGACCAAGTTTCCAGAATATTTTGCATGCTTGGACCGAGGCATCTGGGGATTTTCTGCAAGCTAATCACCCCCCCGTCCTGCCTGGACTTCCTCTCTGAAGTGGATTTGAATGGAGTTAAAGGCCGTGGTGTTGCTCAATACAAACTGGAACCAGTAACCCTTGATGGAGAGAGTGACTGGAGGGAAGCTTTTAGTATTTTTTTAAAGGAAGTTTTGTGAGTATTTTAAAAATGACACAGGAGAATTAAAATTACTGCAAAATAAAAGCACCTGTCAAATACTAATTTAACCCATCATGGAAAAAACTCCTATCTTTGGCGCCCCCCAAAGTTAATATTAAAAAAGACATTGTGGTAGACTAATACATACTTCCAGAGTCTTCTACACTTATATTTATTTATTCCTGTTGTTCTTTATTGATAATCATATTTTTTTTATTTTTTGCAAACAAAAATCCTGTTAAAAATACTACTGTTTATTATTATTATGGTTAAAAATGATATTTTTTATTTATTAATTAATTTATCGTATTAATTAGTTTGTGTAAAAACGCAGATTAGTTGGTTTGATTTGTTGTCCACGTCAATAACAGCGTCAGTACAGTTAGAATAACACGGCTATTAGACAGAGTTTATTAATTAAAACATGAATGTGTTATTAAAACCGAGCTCACCCTGGAGCCTTCACGGTGACACCGGAGCTCAGATTCCAGAAGAGTCGCCGGTGTTCGAGCAACCACCGGGAACCGTGCGAACTCCGGTGAGTAAAACAAGCGTACGCTCCACTTCAAAATAAAAGCCTCTTACGCAAATTATGTCCAAACTTTGTATAACATGGTGGAGAAAAAATAAATAAATACTGAATGTGTTTGCCGTTTGGATTTTTATAATCTTTAATTAAATAACTAATATTCGTAAAAAAAATTCAAATTTTAACGGTTGAAACTGTAAAAACCGCACGCACGCACGCACGCACGTTCTCTGGATTCCTAACGTGACGTACGTCCTGGCGCCCGGTCAGCTAGCTTTCTAAGCTAGTTAGCTAGTTGTTGTCGTTAACCGCGTACACCGGAGTCGGTTAACGTTGGCCAACTAGCGAGTAACTAACGTGTTCTGCCCTGGTGACGGTCAGCATCGGACATGGACGACGAAAGCCACCCCAGAACCCTGTAAGTAGATTTTTAAGCTGTCTTTTAAACAGGTAACGTCCGGAACCGGTCGGCTAACTCGTTAGCTCAGTTACCCGCTGAAAACACAACGTAAACATTTAAAGCCCCGTTAAATCCGAGCCTCTCGTCTTAAGGTTAAATATAATAAACCCTCACTTTATATGTGAGTGTGATCTGTCTGAATGTGTGCTAACGTTGGGGGGGGTGATGTAAATAAGGTCGTTTTAATAACTCACCGTCGGTAACCGTAAAGTAACGTTAACGTCAGTTTTCACAGGTGAGCTCGACACCGTCAGAGTTACCTGGACACTTTAACCTGTGGCGGCTCTCTCAACACGAACCTCCTCTTCCCCCCCTCCTGCAGGTATGTGGGGAACCTCTCCAGGGATGTGACAGAGATATTGATCCTGCAGCTCTTCACCCAGATTGGGCCTTGTAAAAGCTGTAAGATGATCACAGAGGTAAGTTAATGTGTGTTTTACTTTTATGATCCACCTTTATTCAGGTTTGAATAGCAGTAAATTCAATTAGGGCTGCAACTAATCATTATCTGTAATCATTGACCATCGTTTTCTCATTAATCGATACGTTTTGTGGTTAGATAATTGTCCTTGAATGTCTTTTTTTTGGTCCACAACCCAAAGATATTCAGTTTACTGTCATAAAGGACTAAATAAAGTGGAAATTATTCACATTTGAGAAGCTAAAATTAAAGGAAATAAAGGTAAAAAGTGTGACAAAAACAGAATAATAATGAAATACTGTAGCGCTGCAGAGATTCCCTGGCCTAAAAACCTTGTTCTCCACATGTAAGACAACGTGTTTTGACCAAAAAAAATTAAATTATGATGCAAAAATGAACATTTACATTAATCGTGAATCAAAATAATCACAATATGTTTGTTTTTTTAACCCCATTGTGCAGCCCCAGTTATTTCTTGCACAAATACTCTTAATAGTTGACAACTGGTCAACTGATGGTTGCAGCTCTAATTGCGATTGTGGTCCCTCCACTGTTGGAAAATTGCCTCCTCCTACGCTGCTGCTGTTACATTACAGTTGTAAAATAGTTTATGGTGCAATATCCAGATCGCAAGAAGCTGCAGTTTTATGTTAAAGGTAAAAAGTGTGACAAAAACAGAATAATAATGAAGTACTGAGATTCCCTGGCCTAAAAACCTTCTTCCTCCACATGTAAGAATATACGTTTGTTTGGTGCAGACCCAAACTAATGTCACATCATCATGATTTTAATACTTTTTTAATAAAATCTAGAGTGTGACTCTAGAATTATCATTTTACACTAATCGTGAATCAAAATGTTTTGTGTGTTTGACCTTGTCCCCTCGCAGCACACGAGCAACGACCCCTACTGCTTCGTGGAGTTCTTTGAACACAGAGATGCCGCTGCAGCCCTCGCGGCCATGAACGGGAGGAAGATATTAGGAAAGGTAGGACAGTTATATACATATATTACATATAATAACAATATAATGTTTGTCATGAAGTCGTAAATGAACTCTCTGCTTTCAGGAGGTCAAAGTAAATTGGGCCACCACTCCAAGTAGCCAGAAGAAAGACACATCCAGTGAGTGTTCACCTGTTTGTTTTTATAATCTGCTGATATCAAAGTTTATGGATTAGTAAATTATTTCTCTCCGGTGTTTTTGTTTCACTGTAGATCACTTCCATGTTTTTGTGGGTGATTTGAGCCCTGAGATTACCACTGAGGACGTCAAGGCTGCGTTCGCACCTTTTGGGAAAATCTCGTAAGTTTTCTCTTTAAAAGGGTATTTCTTCATCATTCGTACTATAATTTTAAATGTTACAATTCAAGCATATTGATTTCACTAAAGTTGGGCAATATTAAGGTATTTCATACTAATAATCTCCTGTAAGGTGTTTACATGCATACAAACTGAATATTGCCATAAAATGTGTGAAAATATTAAGAAAGTTGACACTTATTGTGAAAAATAATGTTGTTGTTTTTTTCATGAATTGAAACACTGGTCCACAAGGTCTGACACACTGAAGGCTTTTGTTCCTTCTCAACAGTTTATGAGCTTCGTCTGCAGTTAAATTCTTTGGTTTAGGATAAAAACAATGGTTTGATATCAGACGAAACACTGGGACACGACCATAAACATCAACACCCTCTTTCCTTCCTTCTCTCTCTCTCTCCCTCCCTCCCTCCATTTCCTGTTCCCCACCCAAACTGTGTAAATTAATTCAAATTAAATTTACCAAACAACACACGTGAGTGAATATTGAGAGAGACTCAAACTGTAAAGGGGAAACAAAAGCTGGCTTTACACATTGAGGTTTGCAGATGGATACGTTTTTATTTTTACACCTTAGAGAGAATAAAAGATCAGGTAGAGAGAATAAAAGATCAGGTAGAGAGTCTGATAGATGAGCTGGTTTTAAGTTATTTCTTGCGAGATGTTTAGAGGTCAACAAACAGGGTAAATAGAGTTCAGGAGAACAAGTTAATTGTTCCCTCATCTTGATGTTAAATTCATATAATGTGTAAAAGACACGACATTAATGCATGTAAACATAGTTGATGATGGACCAACATCATTTTAAAGTGTCACGTGAAAGTAAATCTGAACCTCTTACCATCGATTGTGTTGCTTTTTATTTTTAAAAACACTCTTTAACAGACTTGGAACAGCCTCATTTAATAATTCATTAATTAATCAACACAAATTCCTGTAAGTTGTTACGTGTTTTACTGCAGTTAATTACTTGTGGTCTGTGTATTGTGTCTCTCTGTTTGTTTATTTATTTTATTTAATGACTGGAGTGTCAGCTTTTAGCGTACTCTTGCTTTTATTTGCATATTTAGGGTGTGGTAAGTAAACTTGTATGTAAGCTGTGTGTATGAACCTGAACAGCTTTTAGTTGTGCGTCTCAGTGAAGTAATAGCACTTTGGTTATTTTACAGAAATGCTCATAGGATTGGACAGGAGCTTGAAGGCTAACAGCAAGGAACTGTGCACTCTGGAGACTCAGATGTAGTTTTTTTTTCTCTATTTATTCCATTCTTCTTTCCATATGTCTTTTATTTGTAGATGCTATGTGTTTTAATAATGATCTTTATCTTAGATTAACAAATTCCAATACTCAATGTATTCCTCTAAATCTATGTTTTATCATTTTGATTTGCATAGTGTTGTTTGTAGTGCTGATCCTCTTCCAAAATTTCTGAAAAATGTCAATTTCTCAAAATTTGCAGCCCCCCCCCCAAACTCCATATTAGTGGTAAAAATTGACCAGGAAAAATAAAGAAATCTGTTAACAGGCCATGTATGCCTTTTTAATTCCTTTTTTCTCTTTTGATATTTTTCTATATATTTCTATTTGTAGGCAGAGCACCAACAGCAGATTTTTAAGAAATGCATGGTAATCCATATAATCTGTTCCTTTTGTGAATTTAAATCAGTACCTCACTGTTGACAAGGCTGAACAAGAAGTGGTGCTCTAGTGGCAAAGATCCATTAATACATCTAAAAAAGACTTATTTTAAAAACAATACTGTAGGCTTGCATGTATTTGTACTTGTTTTCTTTGTTTTCAAGTGTTGCTTTTGAACTTTTATATTACGAGTCAGTGCTCAGTACATGGTCATGACAGCTAATGTACATTAATGTAGGCCAGAGTAGAGGATTTTACAGTTCAGTGTGTTTTGCGTGGTTCCTTTTTTATTTATTTTTTTAGTTTGAAGTATTTACGCTGGAAAGTTGTTCTGAAGTTGTTCTCACGTTTCCCCTCCAGGGATGCCCGTGTTGTGAAGGACATGACGACAGGCAAATCAAAGGGGTATGGATTTGTGTCCTTCTACAACAAACTGGTAAGGCTCCAGTGCAAGAACACAGACTGAAGGTTATTTCTATTTTCTGTTTATTATCCTACTTTTAATGCATTTTAATACAGTAAATGTAATTAATCATAGTCGAAAAACAACTTAAATCTTCTAAAATTGCAGTTAGTAGGTTTCTTGTTTCAACAAGTTTCAGTAAAACTTAGATTTAAACACAGTAATGTATATTTTGACTACTGATTACGGGCCCTATTAAACATTACAGACTCATCACATTCAGATTATTAACTGTCTTTGATTTGGATTTGTAGGATGCAGAGAACTCCATCATTAACATGGGGGGTCAGTGGCTCGGAGGGCGCCAAATCAGGACCAACTGGGCGACGCGTAAACCACCAGCTCCAAAGACCCCCCAGGACAGTAAGTTTTAAAGCCTCCTGCTCACCCACAACAGGGGGTTTTAGTTATTGTGGATGATTAGAGCTCCTCTCATTAACTGCCCATTCATTTAAATGTGAAACAGGGCGGGAAACTTTAGCTTCTGGTCGTGAATTGACTCACTTCCTTCACAAAATTGCCAGATTCTTCGATGTTTGAGAGAGAGGAAATAACTGCTGGTTAATAACGATAAAAACTCTGAATAATCTTTGTGGACTGCTGTTGTTAGCACGTTAGCTCCGGGGGAATTAAACCCTCACATAGAGGTGGGAATAAATTAGATACCCAGTATGTCAGTATCATAAATGTGGGAGTATTTCATCAGTAATATAGATGTGATCATCACATAATCTTCATCACCATCAGCCAAATAAAGGTAGAAAACGGGATCACCTTTAAGACAATGCCAGACTTTAGACTTTAGAGTTATCACATTTGATTATAGACAGTTATTTATCACATGTGTCATAAATCACAGCTGTGAAAGGAAGAAACATCCCCTTTTTAACAAATGTTGAATTTAATTTCAGATGGCTCAAAGCATCTGAGGTTTGATGACGTAGTGACTCAGTCCAGCCCACAGAACTGCACCGTGTACTGCGGAGGGATCCAGTCCGGACTATCAGGCAAGTGTGGTGTTCTTTAAAGATGTCTTATTACAGAGGTCTTAGTCACACTGTGCAGTACTCATATTACTCACACATTAACCTTGGTTTTCTGTTTCTTTCAGAACACCTAATGCGACAGACCTTCTCACCGTTTGGTCAGATTATGGAAATCAGAGTTTTCCCAGAGAAAGGATACTCCTTCATCAGGTAGAGTCTCGGTCCATTACAGCTTTTGGCCTCTAGATGTCAACACAAGCTCATTGAATGACTCAGTGACCAGTCACTCCTCGACTCACTGTCAGAGGCCATTTCTGTTAGTTTGTCTTCACCTCACTGCTATTATTAGTTAGTTTATTTTCTGAATTGATACATTTGACCGCTAAGCTGCTGTTTTCCTTTTAAGGTTTTCCTCCCATGACAGTGCTGCACACGCCATTGTTTCAGTAAATGGCACGGCCATTGAAGGACACATAGTGAAGTGCTTCTGGGGCAAAGAATCTCCTGACATGGCAAAAAACCCACAGCAGGTAAAACACTGAAACTTATATATACTTATAATCAGTTTACAACTATAACTTTGGTGTTTTATCCTCTAAGATATGAGGACACTGTAAAACTGATGAGATTTTAATGGTGATTCAGATGCTTTTGTAATGTGGCAAACATTTATTCACTTATTCTCTGTGTTGGTGTCACTCAGGTTGAGTACAGTCAGTGGGGACAGTGGAACCAGCTCTATGGGAATCCGCAGCAGCAGTACGGCCAGTATGTGACCAACGGGTGGCAAGTTCCCTCCTACAACATGTACGGCCAGACGTGGAACCAGCAAGGATTTGGAGTAGAGTGAGTTTTACTTTAACTTCTTGTCTATAGGCCTGAAGACTTGATGGTAACTCTCTAACAATAATCTGTATTTCGCAGGCAGTCCCAGTCGCCGGCCTGGGTGGGAGGCTTTGGATCTCCGTCTGCCCAGGCTGCGGCCCCGCCCGGTCCAGTCATGTCCAACCTGGCCAACTTCAGCATGGCTGGCTACCAAACGCAGTGAGCCGGCTCTGACTTGAGCGTAACACCAAGGAGATTTTCTGTCGACCCTTTTTAGACCACACGGCACTGCTGTGGTAAAAGAGGGGCAGGGGCCATATTCACAAAGCCTTTGTAGCTAATAGTTGCTCTTTAACAGCCAGTTTAACAATTATGTTTTAAATGTGTCACTCAGAACCTTTTTTAAAAGTTTATTTGATGATAGCTTCATAGTTCAGGTGCTCTTGGGCTTCTGAAGAAAAGCCAAACCAACTGTCCACGTACATGTTAAAGGACGGACCCGTTAAATGTTTGATCCTATGAAACCACAACCCAGTGTGTGACGGAGCGTTAGCATACTAACTGGACAACTTTCTTAACAGGAGAATATTTGAGTTTGGACTTTTCTCACAATCACACACAATTAATAAGTTGAGCCAGACCATCAAAAGGTCCTTTAAGACTAATTGTTATCTTCTGAAAACCAGTTAAGTCCTTGTAGTTGGAGCTAAAAGCACACTTACTACAAGCAGTCATGCTACTCTAGCAGCTCTCTGAACCACGATAAAGATTAAAAAACCAACGTTATTATTAAATTATCAGAAATATAGCAATATCTGCTCTCAGTTTGCCAATATGTTCGTTTATTTTACTCAAAAAAGTGTTTGTTACAGGCTTGTCCAAGTGTTCATTTACTCATTTTATACAACAAAACTGCAGTCAAGTACTTCAAGTACACGTTTGTCACATAGGTCAGTTTTAATGGCACACAGTGCCGACAGTGTTTTACAGATCAACCAACCTGCTTAAAGTTGGTTTGGGCTTCGCTTCAGCTCACAGCCAGGTATTTAGTCCTGTTTTTAATATATTAACGAACAATGCTTTGTGAATAGAGGCCCCCCTCGGGAACGGTAGTTTACCTTTCCACTATATGTGAAGCAACTATTTGTATAAACAACTGTGGCTTTAACGGAGATCTGAGCGGGACGTGGTATCTCTTGGGTAAATTTTTGTGTACAAAGAAAATTTCACATACACAGCTCGAAAAGCTAAAAATTAAATAAAAATAAAAAAATTAGGTTTTTCATGTTTTGTATCCGAGTGATCAGCATGTTCTTTGCAGACTTTTGATGGACTTTAGTTTAAACTTTAATGTAGCCTTAGATTGGACTACTTTATAACCCTGTGTCTCAATGCAAAGGCTATAGCACATGCTCACTATATAAAGAAAAATACTATAAAAACAGCTTAACCCCTGAACTTTGTAAAGGTAACTGACTCTGCGTGCTGATTCTGGGGCTGGTTTCCTAGAAAAAATATTGAATCTTTAACTATTTTCTTCCTTCCTCCTGATAACCTCAGTTAATTTATAGTCATTTCTTCCTGACGTCTGTGGGAGTTTTTGCTTAATTTAGCACCAAAACCAGCCCCTGATCATACTGCATCATGTTTTATGATCATTCAAAAATGCTGTACTTTACTCACCCACTTTTGTAAAGACAAATTGTACAATGTTTTAAGGCTAATTATACATTTATTTTAAGTTTATTCTCCCTCAGTGCAGTCTGAATTTTCTCAGTATTTGCAGAATATTTCCACAAATTCCAGGTAAACTATTGAAACTATTTACAGTCAAATTCTGACGAGGATTTCTCAATGACGTCCTGCCATTGTGCCATTCTGTACAGTGTATTACACTCTCCTTTATCCTGGCGTACCAGCCAACAAACTTAATGATTTTGTTTGTTTATTTGAGCATTTGGGGGGGGGGCTGTTCATGTAATGAAACAGGGTCGTGTTGGCAGACGGTGTAAATATAAACCTCGATCACAAACCTTCATGAAACTTATAATGTACATACTGTAGGTAGAATGTGATGAATTGAAATGCCATCATTAAATTTCAGCAATATAATTTATGAATAAGCCTTAATTGATGTGTCAGTAAATTCAAACTTTGTGTTGCAAATCTAAATTCTTCTTCCACTGTGGATTCTCCCGTTTTATTTTAATTTTTTATTTTGTGTGCCATTTTCAGGAAGTAGCAGGAAGGAGGTAATTGAACTGCACACTTATTGACATGTAATATATTTGTTGCTTAAGATATTGAATGTAATATGGCAGTTTGCTTTTATGACGATACAATACGTTTTAAGTTGAACAACTGAGGTGATGTTTAATAATAAAGGATGAAATCAACAAAAAGTCACTTCAAATAAAGAAACATTTGAATCCTGGTCGTTCAATACGTTTATTAGACACTGATGAATTGCGCTTTACATAGAAAGTCTGACAACAAAGCATAAATTAACTGTGAAACTTTTTTTTTTTAAAGTAATTCTACCACAGTAAAAGAGATATTTAACGATAAATAAAGTGAGGTTTTGAAGTTTGTACCATCTGAATGTTAAATATGCTTGGTGCTTTGGATACATTTGCTCAAACACGTATTATTTTGTTTGGTTTTAAACCTGAAATATTATGATGGAATGTTTTAAAAACAACCCCGGATGCGGATATGATTGTTTACACCATGAGGTCTTGGCAGCTAAAGGAGTCGGACAAAGGTGATTAAATATTGAACTATGTGTTAAAATCTATTCGGGAATTATACATAAAAGCTTTTGAACAACTGTAACTGAACATTTATACACAGCAAAGCAAGCAGTCACTTAATCAGATGTCTAAGGTTAGATTATATTGCATAACGTTAGTATACATAAAGTTATATTACACAACACTAATAATTACATTCAGGTCTCATCTACAACATACATTGTATATATCTGAGTTTAAACTTTAACCAGTTTATTATATTAGCTCTACAGTCACCTAGTAAGCAAATAACTTCAGAAATGTGTTTATACAGAATTTACATAATTTTAAGAGCAGCTTAATATTGAGTGTTGAATATCGACATTGTTGATCTGACCCTATGTTTGTTGGGTTTTTTTAAGCCGTTCATCCTTCCAGATTAACCCGTGATTGTGTTTCTCTGAGTTTAATCACGTGAAGGTTGTGCGTGGAGTCGGTACGAGCAGTCGATCGCCTTGCTGACACCTTCATCCCTCTGTCAACACAAACCAGGACGCTCCCATCTGAGGCTGTTCCATCACTCTGGATAGGGGTAATCGATAATCAAACATTTTGCATTGATAAGAATGAAACTGAAGGAGACAGAGTGGTTTAATTTACTGGGCTGAGCTCCACTAGGTTTAAGACTCTTTGGCTATTTCCATACTCACATCGTTCTTGGTTAGTTTCCCTTTAGCTTTCTCTTGTAATCCCAGTTTCTCCATAATCAACTCAATCCTGGATGTGATGCCTTCCACAGAGCTTTCAAGGTGGAGAACTTGTCTGGACAGTCTTTGATGGGGAGAGAAAAGGTAATTCAGCTTTTGATTGACGTCCACTGTATCGAAATCTTTTCATAGGTAAAATGTGAAAACTTTACCCACCTTACGAATTGTTCCTGATCCGCAAAGGTTTGACCTGAGTGGTTGTTCTGCTCATTGGACGTTACAGGAGGCTTCTCCAGTAATTCTTTCTCATAATTCCTCCCAAGATTGTTGAGTTCAGCGCAAAGAGCATCCTGACAAAAAGTGGGGAAACCATCATGAAAACACAGCTTTGTCTGTATTTTATTTATTAATGTATCTATAACCATATAGACTATTACACAAACCCTCTTCTCCTCCAGCTCAATTTTCATCTTCTCTTGTTCGACTTTGTCTAGAATTTGGTTCCCGTCACGGTCGAACCGTGAGAAGGCTGCAGAAATTTCATGATCAGCATGTCCCATCCTACGAGATCATCAGAGCGCTCGGTGAGGGTTACGTTTCAAACTAAAGTTAGCATGTGCTCTTCTTTTTTGATATCTTGTCACTTACTCTTTTAGAGTTTCTCTGAAGTCCTTGAACTCAATTACTCCGGATCCAGATCGTAGCGCTTTCTGAACATCTGATATTTTCTCCTTCTTAAGTTTCAGCTTCGTAAATGTCTTCATATAGCTCTGAATTACAAGGGGAAATCATTTTGTTTGTATCTTTTGTAAAACTTTATCCACATTTCTGTTTAATTTTACATTAATCTGATCTGATCTGATCTGATCTGCTTTTACCTGTTTGATGATGTCGGTAATCTGTAGCTCGTCTTTTTGGGATGATAGCTCTTCCTTAACCTCAGAATATGTGTCGTTTATGATGGCCAGAAACATGTTCTGAGGGGCAGATACATAAAAAGGATCATGATAATGCTCATCTTTATTCTTTTAAAACAAAGCATCGTGTGTAGCGCCGACTTACCAGCAGAACAAAGAAAACAAAGAACACATAGGTGACGAAGTAGATCGGCCCGAGAACTCTGTTAGCTTGGTCGATAGCATTGAAATCAAAGTCGCCGAGGATAATCCTGAACTGTGTGAAGCTGCAGACAGAAAAAAGGAAAAGGATTGATTCGACAATTGCTCTATCGATCTTTATAAATATGCTGAGCTGTAGTTGTGGGTTCCTCTTACATGCACTTGACGAAGGTGCTGAAAGATTCAACCTGTGTCCCGAAGAGCAAATACCCAAGTTGAGCATAGGCGAAGAACACGATGAAGAACATGATGGCGAAGCCCAAGATGTCTTTGGCACATCGACCCAGTGTGGAGGACAGCTGAGTCATGGTCTTGTTAAAACTGATGTACTTGAAAACCTAAAGGGAGAAAAGAAAGCGCTCAATCTTTGGGATGAAGCTCAGATCATTTTGATAAGAAATGTGTCTGAAAGATGTCGATACTTTACCTTGATCCACGCAAAGAACAAGTTCACTGCATTCATGTTGTTGTATTGTGTTTGCCAGAAGGCCAGAAATTCAAAATCGGCGTAGATACCAGGTTGTTCGAGCAGTTTTCCAAGCAATTGATCCACTTTGACAGTTCGGAAAATATTGAATACAATGGCAACGATGGCGAGCTATGAAGGAGAAAAACTTTACTTCTTTGAGGCCGAGCAAAATCAGAGAAAACTACATGTTTGAATCACATAAGAACCATGTGTTCTTACCATTATCACAACAATATCCAGTATGTTCCAGATGCTTTTGAAATAGGCAAACTTGTGTATACGCAGCTCAAGAATCTCCTCCACAACATAATAGAGGATGAATAAACAGAAGACCACCTCGCACCCGAGGATGAAGAAGTCCCAGGTGGTGATGTAGCGAATCAGTCTGACTGTTCTGATCTGGTAGGAAGGGATCGCTCCTCCGGTCGCTGGGAATTCAACCACCAACCTGAAAGAAGCGGATAAAGCTCTGGTCAGCTAATGAATGGGTACCAACCAGTGGCTAAAGTCGCTAATATCTATGGCGCTCTTTACGTGATGACGCAGAACATGTTGATGTTTGCATTGTAAGTGGAGAAGTCGATGAAGACCACTCTGGTGCCTCGGTCCAGCCACAGGTTGTCCACCAGTTGCTGCAGTATGATGGCGCTCTCCTCTTTGGTCTGACTTAGGTCTTGATAGTACCCCGCTCCACTGTATGTGGTCAGCAAGCCCCAGTGAGAGGAACCTTTGATTTTTTTCTCCGTGTGGTAGGTCCAACTGCAGAGGAAGAAGACAGTTTGTTGTAGTTCTGTAATCTAACCGCACACCCAAAGTTACCCCAAAGGAAAAACAGCGAGCAGCTTACGCAGTGCCATTGATGAGACCGAAGCTAAGGTCATCCTCCTTCTTCTCATTGTAGACGTCGAAACATCCCGTGATCTCATCTTGGAAGTCGCTGTGGACCTTGCAGGAGTTGTTCATGATCTTGATCTGCCTCATTCTGGGGACTCCCAGCAGCATGTTCTCATAGTAGATGAAGGACTGGTTTCCTCTCTCCAGGGACTGGTCGTTGTACCATTTAGTCCAGTAGAGGCTGTCCAGTAATGGGCCCTGGGCATACTGTTCATATAAAGAGACAGAGTGCATATATTTTCTAATTTCTCAGTGATTTCTGAACATGGAGGAAATGAATATAGAGGGAAAACTCACAGTCCAGAAGTCAGCCATGGTGCCAATGGACTGAAACTGGACCCCACTGTCACCGGCTGTATTCACAAACAGGTCCGTCATGGCTTTAGTGTAGTAGTAGGTGCTCGAGCTGGTCATACCATACGTCACTGAAAGACAACGTAATCACATTGTTAACACCCCAATCATTGATTCCTATCTGCCTTTGCTCAGGCCGGGCTCGAAATGTTGCCCCATTCAGCGGTCCAAGATAAGACAGCCCAGAACGCAGACACGCAAGGCCTCATTGAAGACTTGTTGTTTGGCTGTGTTTGTTGACTACAGTCAAACAGATCCAGATTAGGGGCCATAATTTGTTTGAAGAGAGAACATGCTGGCCTGACACAAATAGCCTCATCAAACAATGTCAATCTAACCCAGACAAAGCAACAATGGACGAGGCCAAATGCTCTTATCGCTAAAAGGCAAGAGATGCCCATGTCCCTTTCACTCTTAATGCTCAGCCGGACAATGGCTTTCAGGCAGAGGGATGGGGAGGGCATTTGTGAAGCCTTTGATGGTAAATCAACAGTCAAAAGAGCTCTATACAGTAACATCCAAATGGTGAGCACTTCAACAATTTATCAGCGTTGCTAAAAACAAATATACTAAAGTAGATGTAAGGTACATAAATACAGGAACACCAAACAAAATGTTACTCACTTTATTGAAATTAGTAATGTATTGTGTTTGTCAAACCCAGATACACTTTTAAATAGTCTTTATCACATTATGGGTGATTAATGTGTGAAAAGCACTTGCGATAATAATATTTGGATGTTATTTCCATGCTTGCACCTCAATTCAACAGTTTTCATAACATAAATATAGAAAATTGGGCGTTTGATTCGAGTTTCACAGCTTTCCTTGTTAAGTATCTACATTTTTTAAGGTATATGAGACGCTTTCTGGTGCAATACGGCATTTAGAAGAAGTGCTGACGGTTGCAAATACTATTTGAGACTACCACAAGTGCCTGGAATAGAGATTGGATTGTGTAAGTAGAATACTTACAGAGGCATATATCCACCAGGAACACCATATAGACCAGTAACTCCCGTAGCGTGGTTCGGACAAACAGTTCCCGGTTGTTTGAGGTGTTTTCAGTCAATGTTGTTCCCCATAAACCTTCAGATAAAATACAGTTTTTTAAAGACCTTTCATGCACAGGGTGTATTGATTTTGATCCTGTGTTGAAA